ACCTCATCCTTTTCTCCTCCCTTCCCCCCCAGGTTTCTGAGTAGGTGTCCTTTGACTAACGGCGAGATGGGTGTCCTCAGGGCAGACACCAGGCCTTAGAGTGGTCTGGGCCTTGCTTTGCTCTTGGCTCCCCGATGGTGTGTGATCTGGGAACCCATCCCTGGGGCGCCGAGAGCCCAGGCAGCTTTTCGCTTGGGGTAGCCGATGCCCTCGGGGGCCTGGGTTAATCGTCCAGCCTTGGGTTGGGCTCTCGGCAGCTACCTGCACAGGACTGGACTGTGTGTGCCGCTGCCTGGGCAAGCAAGCCGAGTAAACGAAGCCACGAAGTCGTAGCATCTTGTAAAATCCCTTCAGGGAGTGTCTAGGCCAATATCCCTCCCGGGGGGACATCTTGGGCAGGGCGGAGCCTTGCTTTCACGTGTAATTCCCTGGGCCTAACAATGGTTTAATAGGGAAACCGTGTAGCTGCTGAAAATCTGCTGCAGGCTCGGCGGTATGAAGTGAGCTTCGCTTTACGCTGCACAGCCTGCGGCGAAGCCTCCCCGGAGCAGGGCCGCCAGCCCCTGCCCCCGGCTCCTGGGGAGGAGGCTTCGCTGCGTCAGTGGACTGAGTTTGAGTTTAAGCAGTACGGTTAGTTAAACTCGAACAACCCTCGTCTGCTAAGGACGGGTACCCGCCCTGCAGGCTGATTGCCGAGCTTTGTCGGACTGCTGCAGCCTTGCCCGATAGCAGGGACCACGCAGCCTTGGCTGAGCTGCGACTTCTCCCGTGTCCTCAAGGACGGTCCTTCGGTTCCATGCAAAGGCTCGGTAGGCTCCTGAAACCTTCGCGGGGGGGAGAGCAGCGAATCTGCCAGAGGGTTTTCTCCGTTGTCTGGGCCAAGGGGCTCTGGCACTTGCTCCGTTCCTCCGAGTCCTTACGAGGTCAGTGCCTTCAAACCGGGAGCCGAAGGCCGGGTCCCGTTGCCATGTTCAGACGCTGACGGCACTGACCTGATTTTTGAGGCACCCCAAGAGAAGCCGGGGGTGTCTAGGGGCATGGGCAGCTGTCTCTAGGCAACCAGGTTTGAAATCAGCTCCTGGCTGTGTCTGACAGGGCCACGTGCTCCCAGGCGGCGCTTGGAGGCTGGGACAGAGAATGGTGGGAATCGGAGCCCCCGCATCCCCTGTTCCCACAGGAGCGGAGTCATTGACCGTGCCCACTGAAGGAGAGCGTCTGCTCCCTGATGGCTCTGCTGCGCTCGGCGCCTCTGGCAGCCGCACCAAGGGCCTCCCTGCCCAGGCACCAGCGTCTCGCTAACCGGCTGTTGCTTTCCTGTGCATTCCCCAGGTTCAGAGGAAGACGCTAAGGCAGGGCTTAGAGAGGCCAGAGCAGAGCAGATGGGGGATCTTGCTGAGCCACGCGCAGAGGAAGCCGAGCTGCCCGCGGACGGGAGCATTGAAGAGGAATTCCAAGTGTAGCCTAGTTTGCTGCCGCAGACCAGATAGTTTGTGTGTCCTGCTCGAACTCTAGTGCTGGCTTAGAATGGCCTGCGCCCCAGCAGGACCGTCCCCCGACTTCAAAAAAGCCGTACCCCTGTTCCAGGAGGGAGGCTGCCCCTTTGTTACACCCCGATTCCCCGTCAGGTCTCCACGCCCCCGCAGACCTAGCATGGAAGGCCCCATGCGCCTTGCTGAGACTGGTGCCTATGCCAGCCAGCTGCCTTGCTCCCGCTCAGCTCGGTCGCGGCTGGGAACCCTGCAGTTGTCTGGTTTGAGTTTTGATTTGTATTACAGAAGCTTTTTTAAAAGCACGTTTTTTGGGAGCCGAACGGTGGAAGGTTTGCTTAGCCCAGGTGTCTCGTGCTGCATTGGTTGCTCTTTCCTGGGCCTCGGGTCAAAGGCACTGTGGCTTGGCTTGCCCTGTGCATGGGACCGCCAGGGACAGGCAGTCTGCCTCAGTGTGCCTGCCGGAAGCTGGCTTGATCCAAGTTTGGGTTCGTGACTAGGAAGATCCGGTGCGCTTTGTCCCTTGGGTTGGGATTAGTCCCTCCAAGGGGTGCTCAGTCCCCCAGGACATCAGCTGTGAGGGGGCAGCCAGCTGGGACACAGGGAAGCTGCTTTCAAGGTTTGGCTCGGGGGGGGGGAGTCTAACGGTGAATAATTAGCCAGTGGGGCCGTTTCCCGGGCCGTGGTGCTGCCTTTAAATCCAGACTGGAGCATTTCCCGAAACGATCTGCCCCTGGAATGGCTTGGGCCGGATCTTTGATCATCAGACTGACCTGCTGTGTCTGACAGGCCACATTGGCCCCTTCTGGGGGCCCTCTGCCACGTGGCTTGCAGTTCTGGTGGGGCATGGGTGCTTAGGGAGCGGGACCGGGCCGGCCTGTGCGCTCCCACCGTCGAGGGACTGCTCGTACAGGGAACAACGATCTTCCCTTCCCTACCTTGTGGACTCCTCCCGCTCTGCGAGCCAGCCTCCGCCTTGGAAGGGAGTTAAATTCCATTAAGCCTGAAAACTTGCTAATGGCTCCGATCGATTGAGCCCTGCTCCTTCAGGCAGCAGAGCCAGGGAGGAAATGACTCCTCAGCGGGGGCAGGAGTTCTGTGGGGGAGGAGGGTAGGTGCCTGGTTAGCCCCTCCATTGGTCAGAGGAAGAAGGGGCTTTGAAGATTGCTGCTGCGCTGTGGAGACGGTCCCAGCTATCGCGTGAGGGACTCGACGTTTAAACAGCCCCTCGTAGGAAATCACAGGGAGGACACGTCCCAAACCGTCGCCTCCAAAGGGGCCGTTTCCACTCCAGGGGCGACGTTAAGTGCGGGTTGGGATCCTGCTTGCTGCTTTGTCTCAGACATCTGGGTAAGGCCGCGTCCCGCACGGTCCATTCCCCTGTTAACCCTCTCCAGCCCGAGCTGCAACCCACCTGTCGGGCAGCGACAAGTGGCTGCTGTATTGGTTTTGTGGCCCGCTCCTGACAGCCAGGGCATGGCTGGAAAATGAAGCCAAGGGCCTGGGTCTAAGAAGAAGTGTCAGGCATTGTCAAAGGTGTGTCCCCCTTGTGCGGGCGCACTGCTTCTGGCCGCTGACACAGGCCGTGACTCGAAAGCACTTTGCGCCGC